AGATAGACTTGACTTTAACAAATCTATTAGCTTCAATGCAAATTTACTTAACTTTATATACTCAATCAAATTCAAAAACACTATCCAGATTCCTTCACCACCAAACCTCACAATTCAAGTTTTCCAAATCTCTCCTATATTTTCTAACAGTTCTGCTCTTAATTCTCTTCAATTGCTCACAAATTACAACTTCTATTCTACTAATCTTACCTTCTATACAGATGGCTCTGTTATTAGTACTAATAATCATTAATGCTCTATGGGTATTAGATGGTTACAGGTTTCTAACAATAATATTTTTCAAACATTCTATACTCAAATTTTCTATAGCTATGCTTATTTAAAGCTAAACTGCTTGTAATATTATCTGCCCTATGTACTGCACCTAGAAACTATGATATTTATAACTTTATAGACTCCCAATCTGTAATGTCTAAATACAATAGTCTAACTCAGCAGATAATCAATGCCAAGCTCTCAAACACTCTATACTGGTCTATTTGAAATATACTCCCTAACCTTATTAAATCCTATAATTTAAAATTACTTCCATAAAGGTAAAGCACACCAGAATGATATATTCAATAACAAAGCTAATTAACTAGTTTATAATTACCTCAATACATCATATCTTATATTCAAGCCTAGTAATATTTACAATCTTTTACATATTCTCATCTTAGACAGCTATTCTCCAACTTGTTGTAGCATTCAAACAATATGCTATACAAATATTTTTGCTACTTAGTTCTCTCAAAATTGTTTCCAACCATAGATACAAATTTTCCAGCATATTAACTGGGATACAACTTGGCTTTATCACAACAATAACTAAAATGTTTCTAACTTTGTCTATAGTTTCAATCTTCTATACTTAAAATATTTAGAATTAAGTTACTTACTAACAAATTTTTTGTTTCTCATAACTTATATAAAAAAACCTATTCTTTTCATAATACGTATCACAATTGTTAACAAACAAGCACCACATTACACTAGACAATTTACTCTTCTCTGGATTTTCTATATCATCTTATCTGAAATTCTTTACAAACAATTCTAACTTTTAACAAACTTCAAATCTCTTTAGCTCAAATTTATCAATTGCATAACCAAATCTCCAATCTTGATAGTCTTCAAACACACAACTCTTCTGACAAACCTTCAATCTTTTAAACACTCTTTGAACTTATCCCATTAAATATTATATATATAATTTAAGAATATACTATATCAAATCAAACAGCTAAATCAATTACTATACTACTACTCCTCCATATCAACAAACAATTATATACAAATATATAGATTCCTTATTGTACTTTTAGACCCCAACCTCAACTTATACAACTACAAGCAACTTCATTATCTAAATCTATAATTAATATACTTCTTGTAGCAACTACCTTTAATACTACTTCACAAATATCTTTTCAAAACTATTATCCTAGTATTCTAGCTAGATTCAATATTGTACACACCCTTTACATATTTTTAATCCATCTTAAATCTATATAAGCCTTGGCCACTCTAGTAGGCTTAGGCTACAGATAAAAAACTAGACATGTCTATTTAGTATTTTTAGTTAGTCTGAGTTTTTATTCTTAGTATAGATCACTAAGTTTAATAAAGATAAGAGCATGCCTCACCTTTAACATTAAAAAAAATTTTATAGTATCACACACTATTTATTCTATTAGAGATCTTTAAATATTCATAGTTTTGTTCTACAGCTATATTACATATTGTATCTATATAAATCTATTACTATGTTCTAAAAAACTTTATAAAAAACAAAAAAAGCAAAGTTAATAACTTTTATTAGTACGTTTTAACTTTTTTTTTAAAAAAAACATTATATAGCATATACAAAAAAAATACACAATTTAAGCTTTATACTTATACTACTTTCTAAACTATTATTTTAAACTTTTTTTATCTTTTTTTAATACAAAAATAAGATTTTGTTAGTTAATTGCTTATAATTTTAACTGGTGAAGTGTAATATGAAAGTTGTTGAATTAAGTTGGATTAAGTAAATATGTTGTAGAGCAAGGTGAAAGCTTCAGGTTTCTTTAATAATATATCTTGTTTTATAGAGAGGATAATCTATCCAAGCTTCTGATAAAAGTATTGTAAAATGTATAAAAAATATCTTTAATTAATTGTGTAATGATCTACAAAATTAGAACACTCGAGATGTTTCTACCTGTAGATTGGTGGTTGATTACATTATTTTCCTCTGCTTTAGATGACCCCAATTTGGAATTTCTAAGTGACGAGGCCACGTGTTTGCAGTCAGATTATGTTTCCATATACACACTGGAATGTCCTACTGTTATGTTACTATTATTGATCTATCTCCTGATATCTAACCTATATGCTACTGGTATGCTATAGTTATTTGGTAGATCTATGATAAAATAATGGGTACATAACGGGAAATTTGTCTCCTGATATATACCCATTATTTATTGATTTAACCTGTGTAATGCACACCTGCATAGTGTTTTGATTACCTGTGCACTATTTTTAATGTATGTGCACTATTTTGAGGTTACCCTAATTTTTTAAGCAAATATATATAATATGTTCAAAATAATCAAAAAAAGCAATATTTTCAGTTTTAGCAAAATTTTATCTCAGACTTTAATGTATTAAAAAAGGTTTTAAAACAATAAAAAAATGGTTAAAAAACTGCTTAATCACTAAACTATGTAAATTATAAAGATTTTCTTACAAATTTTTACTTTAACTGGATGTATTTTCATGTGTAATATATTCAATTATATGTATACTATATATGGTGCATGCTATTTTGGGATACACATGTGCATTATTTTGAGACCCAATATGCTATTTTTAGGGGATGCAATTTTCAAAATAACATGCATGATTGTTATTTTGTGGTAATACAGTAATTAATGCACACACATGAATCAAAAAGTATGTAAAAGCATATGATTTTAAAGTATAAGCATCTCTAGAACTGGGTCTTAAAACTCAGTAACTGCATAGTAACTATATAGTTACAATTAAATTTAATTGTAATTATGTAATTACTACATTGTTACCATGCAGTTACTGCGTCTTAAAAATTTAAGTTTCTGTAAAGTTCTTATGCACATGCATTTTACATATAGAATCATTTTATTATTCATCTTTTCGTAAATTAGATTACTCGTAGGCAAAAAATACATAAGTACTTTCATGCCCTATCCTCATGGCATTCACTAATTTCCCACAACTCCAATTAGACATAGCGTAACAAAACAACATAATTATAAATTTCATTTAAGAAATTATCTATCACATGCATATAATTACGTCATTAAACTTAACACTAACCCTAACTGAGATGTCACATTTTAAAAAGGATAAATAATTACAAAAAAAACAACCAATAGAAAGTGTGAGAGGGAATTAGTAACGCATAATAGGTGTAGAAACGCAGGTACAGTACATATGTTGTGAGGTGCAAAGTCGATCCGTATACTCAAAATATGGCCTCACGGATATATACTAGCAATAAACTAATCCAAACAACACACTAAACTACCGACTCTACTGAACCTAATAGTGGTGGGCACGAAAGAAGGCGTGGAAAAACTTGGTCTGAGTTATTAGGGCAAAATAGAGCTCTAGACTATGTCATGAGGCTCTAATTAAGAATCATGTGATTATAAAATCCACTTATCATGGGGTATTAGAGCAAAACTTTAAAGAATGGATAATAGACTCTTAGCTGAATCAAACTCTATTGAGTTATACCAACTCTAAGTTTTGAACTCTAGTAAGTTATCTTTTATTAAGACGAAAAGTCAGTGCTTTTATAGCTTTAGTGCTAATAATAAGTACATATGAGTTTCTATTATATTATGGCTTCTTATTATTTTCATAATTCACAAAATTCACAAAATTCGCATAATTTACTAAATTCACAGAATTCACATAATTCCCAAAATTCACATAATTCCCAGAATTCACATAATTCCCAAAATTCACATAATTCCCAAAATTTACAAAATTCACAAAATTCATGAAATTCACAATTCGGCTATTTTTGGGAATTATGATGCAATGAATAAAGGCTTCAAATCGGGTAAGAGTAACTTACTAATCTACAGAGACTGTGCCGCCTTTTGAGTTTTTACATATCGAAAGAAAAGAAAATTATAACAATATAATAAAATAACTATATAAAAAAAAATGATGGGACCGGGAGCAGGGAGAAAATTCGATGTGCACTTTGTGCGATATGCACATAAAAATTTTTTGTGCACAAAAAAAATATAATATTGTGCGCAATATAGTTAATCCTGTTCTGCTGTAGCAAACTTTGCACACACTAAATTTTGACTTTGAATTTTTCTCCCTGACCGGAGCCCTTCACAACGTGGGTTCGGTCGACTATTTTCAGCTTAGCTGATTTATAGTCGGCATGATCCAGTGTCCAAATTGGATGATTTTAGTATCATTCAATTTGTCTCATTGAGACAAATCTAAATCATCCACTGGATTACGAGATACACTCCGACTACATACGGCCAAGCTGAAAATAGTCGACCGAGCCCATCCCTAGGTATATTTTATAAAAATAAAATGTTTTAATCAATTAGTGACATATTTTAATAATGCTAGTTTGCTAATATTTTATTATAAAATTTTGTCAGTTTATATAAGAATAATTTTAAATTTAAATCTTTGATATAAAAATATTTTGTAAAAACATAAATTATATTACTTTGCAAAAATTATTAAGGCTTTAAAATCTTTAAATAATAATCTCATTCAATATTTCATTGGAACTTTGTTCTCTTGGTAGTATTTTTCTACCTCAAGAGTCGGACCATTACTATCTTTTGTTTTTATATACGTTCCATGTCCTACCAACTCTAGGTTCACTTTCTTCTCAAATGTCTTTAATTTACTCTGTCCACATATTATAAGGACTAAACATTAATTCTCCATTTTTGAGTTTTTTATACATGGTATTTTTGCTAACTGGCTCTCCAGTTTTTGTTTTTTTCAAAACTATATTCAATACTTTGTTCATCATTTCTTATTACATAAAACCTATCCTTATATCTATAATATGATTTGCCTAAATGAACTATAGTAATATTGAAGCATTTAAGTTCATTATCAATTTCATTTTGCAATGTTTTATCTATTGATTTAAGTCTGATATCTATCTCATTAAACTTGATTGCACTTTTTTCAGGATTGCTTTCTCTTATATCTGCATTTATAATTACTTTTTCACCATTTAATAATTTTGATATTTCATTATCATATTTTTTGTTTTTCCATATAAAAAATGGTTCTGAAGATTCATATTCACTATTGAATTCTTTATCCATTAAATATTTGTCCTTTCTGTTGTTAATAAAAACATAATGTTCTTGAACTTTTGATCTCAGATTTTTTATTTTCTCTATAATCTTGTTAACACCATTACTAGTATAATCTAACGGTGGACTTAATACATCTGGATACATACATGCATATAGAAATATCCATTGCTTGAGTGCATCAATAGCTTTTTTAAAATGCCAAAGTATAATGTTGGTTCTTATTTTTAATTCTAGTCTTTCGATAGCATTTTTTAGTTCTTCATCCATTGTTTCAGTACCTTTTGACAAATTAATATTTGAGATATAGTCTGCAAGTTTTAATTGATCATAATCTTGTATATAATTATATATGATATTAATATGAGTTGCATCTTGTTTGCTTGACTTTTGCAGTAATTTTATATTATTTTCTATCACATCAAAATATCCATCTATGTCAATTATCAAATTAGATTCTAACGCAGATTTGAAATTACAAATCTTAGTAAAAGTACATATGTATAAATAGCTAAGTACTTTTTTACATTGTGGAAAATTTTTTTTCTTATCATTTTTTTTCTTATCAAGATGTTTTGTAAAATTTTCTATATACTTTGATAAAAACTGATAAAAGAAATCAAAATCATTATCACTTTTGAATTCAGTTTCTAGATGATCTAACCTTTTAATTAGATCTTTTGTTAAATAGTAAAGATCTTTAGGTTCAAAATAATCATCTCATTTGATAGCATCTAACTTCTTCAATTTGTCATATTCGGCATTACTTACATTTAGAGATTTAAAAATTTTAACTTGACAGTAGATTGCAGCTATATGTAATGGCATCCAGCCATATTTGTTCTTGACATAAAAATTTGCTCCTTTTTTTTGTAAATGTTTAACAACTCCCAAATGACCGTTCTGCATAATAACTAACCTAACTGTATCTACATGTTTTTCTTTTATAGCCAAATCTAATGGCGTCTTTTTGTCTTTATTCTCATTATAAATATAATTAATATTATACTTTAGCAAAGCTTTAACGACGTTTGTATGCCCTTCAGCAGCAGCAAAGTGCAATAATGTCCAATTATTCTTATTAACAGCTTTATCATCAGCTTTATATTTGATTAAAATTTTAACAACTTCTCGATAACCATAAAATGCAGCCTTGTGTAGAGTAGTTTCACCATTCTTATTACTGATTTTAATATCTGCATTATATCTTAATAAAGTTTCAACAGCTGCCGGTTTACTATTCTCAGCAGCCTTGTGCAATACGGAGATATTATTAACTTTTGCATTATACTTTATTAAAATATCAATTAACTTTTCACTGCCACTTTCAGCTGCATAAAACAATGGTGTATGATTATCCTTATCAATAGTATCAACTTCAGCTTTATTGTTTATTAATTTATTGACAATAGCTGTGTGGTCATTTTTTGTAGCTAAATGTAATGATGTTTTGTCGTTTTTATCTCCAATAGAAATATCAGCTTGATAGTTTATCAAAATCTCAACAATATCTTTGTGTCCATTTTCTGCAGACAAATGCAATGCTGTTTTGCCATTTGTATCAGCAGCATTAATATTGTCAATTTGATATTTTTTACAACAACGTCTGTGTATCCCTTTCGCGCAGCAAAATGCAATTCATATTTTTATTTCTATCAAATATTGTATAACCATAATCATCAATTGCTTTGATATCAGCACTATCAGTGTTGGCACTAGACATATGTCCAACTATTTTTAAGCTATTGGACTGAACTGGACATTGAACATAATACTTGGACATATGTCTAGTCGAATATGTCCAATAATTTTAAAAAATATAAAAAAATCTTTGGTAAAAATATGTCCTAACAAAAAGCTTTTATTTGCGATTTTACTATACATATTTCACTAATTTCTAGCCCTAATATAAATGCTAACCTTAAACCTAACGAACTTTTTATAAATATTACCTTTATTACATGATCACGACTTTCTTTGGTGTGATAATGTAAAGATTTTTGATTGGCTATTTGTCACATGATTTATATATTACACAATGTCCAATGTCCAATACTTTTTGGTCCAATGGATTGAACTGGACTGGACAAGGGTTGTCCAATGTCCATGTCCAATGTCCAGCCCAACCTTGAGCACCATGCTCTAACAAAGTTTTAACGACTTCTACATGTTCGTTTTTTGCAGCATAATGTAGTATACTATGCTAATGAATAATCGAGTTAACATCTGCCTTATGTTTTATCAGAATATTAACAGCCTCTGTGTGACCTTCTTTGGCAGCTAAGTATAATGCATTACGACTTACAATAGCTTTACGTTCTATCAACGCCTTAATAATCTCTATGTGACCCTTCTCTGCAACTCGGTCTAATACTGTATATTTATCCTTATCGATAGCATTTACATTAGCTCCATGCCTTATCAAAATCTTAACAATATCTATGTGGCTATTCTTTGCAGCCCAGTTTAATGCTGTATATTTATCATCAATAATATTGACATTAGCTCCATTTTTTAACAAAGTTTTAACAATCTCTATATGGCCATTCTTTGCAGCATATATTAATGTATATCGATTATACTTATCCACATAATCAGGTTTTTGTTTATAAAGGCGTGTCTTATATTCTTCTCTTTAATACTAATTTTATTAAGATGACAATATCTAACATTATATGTTTCAAGAGTATTCTTCATCTTAGCAGATTTTTGATAATAAACAATTGCTTCATTATTGTTCTTTTCAACTCCAATTCCATGACAATAACAATCTCCAACATTATATGCTCCTGCATTTCCATATCTTCAGATTTTTGATAATATTCGAATACTTTATGTTTATTCTTTTTAATTCCAATTCCATAAAGATAACAATCTCCAACATTAAACGCTCACTTAGCATTCCCCATCTTAGCAGATTGTAAATAATGAATGAATGCATTATCTTCATTCTTTTCAACACCAATTCTATTTTGATAATAATATCAAGCGTTATATGCTTCGCTAGCATTTCCCTCATAGGCAGATTTTTTATAATATTCGAATGTCTTAATTTCATCCTTTTCAACACCAATTCCATTTTGATAACAATATCTGACATTATATGTTCCACTAACATTCCCCATCTCTGCAGATTTTTTATAATATTCGAATGCCTTATATTCATCTTTTTCAACTCCAATTCCATCTTTATAACAGTTGCCAAGCTAAATGTTCCAATAGCGTGTTTCATCTCTGCAGATTTTTGATAATTAATGAATGCCTCATGTTCGTCTTTTTTAACTCCAATTCCATTCTGGTAACAATATCCAATACTAAGTATTCCGCTAGCACACCCCATATCAGCAGATTTTTTAAAATAAATGAATGCTTCATGTTCATCCTTTTCGACCCCAATTTCATTAAGATAATATTGTTCAACATTATTTGTTCCATTAACATTAAATAACTCTACATATTTCTGATAATAAATCAGTGCCTCACGTTCATTCTTTTTAACTCCAATTCCTTCATCAAAGCAATAACCAACCATATTCGCTCCCAAAGCATTCCCCATTTTTGTGGATTTTCGAAAATTATTGAATGCTTCATGTTCATCCTTTTCAGCTTCAATTCCATTTTAATAACAACATCCAACATTATACGCTCCAGGAGCGCTCCCCATCTTTGCAGATTTTTGATAATAT